TCCTGTTTTCATCCCTGTGTATAAGTACAAAGTTAGATCAAACTTGTGGCCTCAGTCAGCCACTCCAGCTGCATGCAACATACAGTTAGATAGCCTTGTGACATCCTGGCCTTCATTCTATATGTCCTATATCACGCTGCTTAAAATCACAATTTATGGTTGTGGATTCCATGGAGAGATTCCTTTGCTACTCCACCTGGAAAATATGCTCTTCAACCTTTATGGAAGTCTTTGTGTATTGTGCCAGCAGACCCCATTTCCCTTTCTATGCGATCTTATTGTATTTTAGTACCTCACAAGCAATAGATAACGGCCAGTTGTAACTGGAGTGTAGTATCACAAGTGTGGAGTAAGCTGTGGCGATACAAACACCATGAGCAGAATCCTCTGCTCTTTCCAACTCATTGCGAAGAAAGCAAACATGTTAAAGCAGAAGTGACTTACATACAACATTATTCTTCCCTTGTTCCCTATTTTGTATTCACCTTGTTATATGTCAGAAATGTTCCTTGTGGAATTCGGAATTTTGTTGTAGACTTGCCATTGAATCTACAACAAAGTTTGCTTTAGTTCCTGTGCCAGAACTGGAGCCCCACAGTAGAAACACCCTGTACACAATAACAATTACCTTCTTACAGTGATCATATCATAGAAGATGGGACCAAGATTACTGATTCTGACCAGAAGTGGCCGTTGTTTACCCCTAAATATTTCTTTTTTGGGATATATGGACATGCTTTGTTGCCCTGGCCAGGGCCCAGGCAGCACCATCCCACCCAAAATCAGACGTTTGGGGTTGCCTGTTTGGGCCAGGCAGCTTTCCCATGGTCTGAACTATACAGGCCCAAAATTAGCCAGAAACAAAAAAGTATAGAGTTCCAACAGTCCTTGTTTCTGCAAGGAGGCTTTCAAGTCCTTACCCATGTCAGATCATTAATGGTGTGTTTGGTTTGAGAAATGAATTAGTCCATCATCTACTCATTCCTCACTTTTTGTTTGGTTTGTGGAATGGAATAGGTTGATGCATCATCACCTCATTCCTCACACAAGCTAAGTATTAGTAATAAAAGGAGGAATGGATTCATGACCACCTCATCTAGAATGGAGTGATTCCTCCAACCAAACACACCCTAAGTTCATAGTAACCACCTACTTTTTACTGAGATCTAGGAAGTTTCTTGCTTTAGTTATATGCATGAGCTAGTTCAAGTTTTATAAAGGAGTTAACAAAAACCATCCTGAAGGATATTCTACAGCTAAAAATGAAAAAAGATAGCCTTCAACTATATCAGGAATATGAAACGTATCTGACCTATCTTAGTATATGGATGTTTGTAGCTATCTTAGATAGGACCTTCTTAAAATTTGGTCTTGCAAAATGTGTCCGCACCTGCAAAAAATAGCTTATCAGTACAACAAAAACAAAGATTTTCGCCAAGCGAGTTGGGGTAGGCAAAAAAAAAAGAATAACATATCATTTGGGTACCAAATGACAAGTTATTCCACATGTTTTCTTAACCTGTACTACAATGAAGTTTTAACGCTTTAGGTGTGATGCATATTGGAGTGCTGGAACTTACTTTAGTTCCAGAAACTATATCAACACCATTCTTGGCATGGTTGAGAGCTTGTAGCATCGTAATGAGTGCTGACCGGCATCCCCTTCCTCGTAAACACTTGTGAGATAGTTGTGCATCTCAATGATATTCTAGTATTGAACAAGAGCATCTGTAAGAACAAATTTGCAAAGGGAAAAACCAAATAGCATGATTTGTAAAAGATAACGGCTTGATGATACATACCCTCTGATCTAGTTCAGCAATTTCATTCATGACCCCTTTAAAACCAATCAAAAGACCCTTGTTCACGTAAGTCACCCAATAAAAGTAAGCATTTGTTGTCTTCAGTACCTCTTTGGTTTTGAGGTAATCCTCATAAGGGTGTCAAGATCAACATGTGCCTTGCTGCGACCAATTGGTGGGTAAAGATCGCTTGAAGCTTCCTGCAAATTTTACGTGAATAAATTAATTACTGGTCTAGTCTGGTATTCATGAGGAAGAATGTTTGAATAGATGACTAACCAAACACAAAGAAAACAAGAATTACAATCATTGTTAATTCCTTAGATCACAAAAACAGAAAATAAGAGGCCAGTTTTTGTTTTTAATATAATATAAGAGGCTAGTTGGGGATATGAGAAAGATCGCTTACTTCTCTTCCTCCATTTTTGATGATGTTATTGAGCAGGTCTTTCAGTATGCTAATAAAAGGTGTGGCACCAATTCCTAATCCCGACAAGTAGTAAAACATCATACTTGCTGTAGTCTTGTGCAGGAGAACCATATGGTCCATCAATCAAAAGTTTTGTAACCTGCATTTCCCAAAAACCATGAAGCCTCAAATAGAAAAAACATATTATTAAGTGTTGAGATGCATATGGGGGAATTAACATACGCTTTTCTTAGTTGTCTCTGTCTGGGTCAAGAAGGCCACTTTTCCCACCCACCGTGGCTCACAAGCTGCTGAGAATACCCGCATTTGAGCTCACGTGTCCAGTCACCAAGTTGTCGAACATGAATGCTTAAATAGTCATCCCCAGGTGCCAAGTAATTGAGAAAGGATGCCTGAAAGAAGAACAAGTGTTTAACTCACATATTCTAGTGTCCAAACTCCAGAAACATGACTTTTGTGAGCTAGCTCGAGCTTAGTTACAAAGAAGATCCACACACCATTCAAAAGGTGAAACTGCAGGGCATTGAACAAAACATATACTGCCCACTCTTGTAACGGAATGTGGAGGTTTAGACATCTGCAATGTCAAAACATTACCAGGATATATAGCCACCTGCAAAAGAACCATGGGTCAGAGGACTGTAAACAAATTAATACTGTACTCAGATTTCTAAATATGTGAAGGTTACTCTTCAATAACCGGACAGAATAACTGCCCTGATCTGAAAAACCTCAGAGTCCTCTCCCTACATACAGACCAACAGGAACAGCAAGGTACATCCATGTCTGTACAAAATAACAGGATATTAGATACTTAAAAGTTACTGAGGTCCACAGAGTACACAGAATAAAAAATGAAGATTAGCTCACCGCCTTTTTGTACCAGTCGTGGATAAGGTATAGACACTCCATGAATAACAAGTGCTATGTACACAATGATGAACAAATGATGGGAGTACCTAGAATGCATTGAAGCCAGTTAGTTTGTCAAATGGCCTTGGAAGCTTCACCAGGCTAATATGGAACTAATTTTGTTGCTAGAGTAAAAGCCGATAAGCATGCACACAACCATGATTACCCCTGTTATGCCCTCCACTCCTTTTACCAGAGCTAGATATGTTGGTTTATTTTCCCAAAGTATTTTAAGAAGCGGAGCATACTTCATCTCTGATGAACGATGAGCCGTGGAAAATCACATACAAGGTGGTTCCTGCATGAAGAACAACACCAACCACAATTGTTGCTGCAATAGTCTGCCATTACAAAAACAAGCAAAAGAAAAATTGTTCTTTTAGTTATATTCTGATCTGGCTGAATCACATGTCACATGTATGTCCTTATTATGAAAAAACCCTTATCAGGCACCACTAATGCCCCCATTATACTTATGATTAATTTTTTTTGTTACATTCACAGCCAATAAGAAAATGTCAGCCATGAGTAGCCTTGACATGGCATTGCCCGATTTTTACTTTTAGCTAAATTGCTGTGATCAAATCATGGCATACGCACGACAATCAAAATGGTTTTAGCTTATCGGTACCACCTTTTAACTGAATATCAGGCATGAATATATTTCCATCAGCAAAAATCATGTTCTTTGTTAGCTGAAGCCAAGGAGCAGGCAGAACACTGGCTACCTTGTGTGCTGATCAAGAACAATATTAGGTGAATATGATCTCACCGTAAAGGCACAAAATGAATATTTAATAGGGTTAATACAATCTAGACTATGTCCTGACTGTAGGAACGTTAAATAAAGCTTTCAAACAAAATGCATGGAGGAACAATCCATCAATTGAGCTGTATATCTAATAGGTATAGTACCTAAGTCTCTTTTCGATCTTTCTGGACATATGTGATAAAGCAGCCCCAGATGTGATAACCATGCAATGCAAGGGACAACCTTATTTAACCAATTTTCTTGAATCACATTCACATGAATTCAGAACGACCAGCATGCGCTTATAGAAACGAAGTAAAGATGATGAAAATGTGTAACATATCTCACAAACACACAACCATTTGTAAACCCTAAAGCTACGAGTCCATTTACCCTCCAGCCCCATTTTGAAGGGCAATAAAGAACTAATTGGAGTCTAGAGCCAACCTTGTGGAAGTTTATGTTGTCATCGAACGGCAATGTTTCAGCAGCTTTCAGATTCCCGCAGCCAGGTGATAGTGTTGCGGCATACAGGCAAGAGAATAAGTGCCATGTTCAGTTTGAGAGTCTCTGCAGCACCTTTCGTGAGTTGTGACACAGTAGCCCATCACATCAAAGACATAACGGTTACGGTACTGAATGAACTTCCAAATGAACAACCCAGCCATTATTCCAATCCACACTGCAAGCACCCAGAGACGCTTCCAGTTGTCCTCCAGATAGTAGTTCAATGTGCTGCTAATTTTTCGGATTGGACTTCTTTTCCTTAGACCAGCAAGGTTCTGGCTTAGTGCCTGGCTTGTAGCTCAAGGCCTGGCTGTAGTTCACATAGGTATCCTTTGCAGTAGTAGTGTCTCCAGTTGCCAAAGCTGCAATGACAATAAAAAAAAAAATCAATATGTCACATAATTGCACTCTACATCCCTAACACCAGACCAATTTGGCACATATATATAAAAATAATAATAATATGTACAGACGACATGTAAACATAGTGCATTTAAAATGTGGTATATGATAATTTAGTACTGAAATTAAAGAGCAAAACTACAAAAAACCTTTTAGGATATTGTGCAGTGAGGATCTCAGTAGATAAAAGGAAAAGCAAAATATCCTTGTTGACTTCAGAGAAGTATAACTGCTCAATTGCATAGGTATAGCTTCGGATTCAGCATAATGATTAGATATTTGATAGCTAACTTTATGAATGATTCTATGCTTACAATAATTTCAATTATTAGCACATAAATATGATCGCACCTAAGTTGATTAACAATAATAGTTCATAGTGTCATCTCCTGATAATCCTTAATTACACTTCTCAGAGAAAAAGAAGCAGATTAACCATACACGTCAGTCTAAGAGACAAAAGTCAAACACTCCACCAGACTGCAGGTGGTCCCCTCAAGATTATAATTGCATCTGGTGGCGCACATGGCTCCTATATGAGCCCACCAAACATGCCACAATCTTGTAGAACATGCACGCAATAATTCCATTGTGAAAAGGTGGGACATGGAACTTGATTCTCAGCTCTCAGTTGTACTCACATCTGAGGACTGAAATTACTCGAGTACAAAAATAGCAACACTGCACAGGATTATCTGGAAATAAAAAAGATGTGTTACTTTGTTCAACAAAATATAATTAGTACTAGACACCTAATAGAACTATTGGCAGCAACTGTTATGACTGTTTGTCCTTCAAGGAATGACATCTAGAGTTCTAGACACCAAGTCTTGCATTTGACAAATGCAGCCATTTGGGACTAAATGCAGAAGCAGATGCCCTGTTAGGATGAAAGCTGTACAGGAAAATCCTGCATCACCAACTAACACGCTTTTTTCTATTATGATACTGTTTACATTTTTATCAAAACAAGTTGTCATTTCATGATTTTGCACAGCCGTTTTTACCTTTTTTCATTAGTTATCTTGATAAAAAGGGAAAATCCCATACTGACCGCTTTTGTTTCCATATTATAGTAGCGCTTTACCATTTTCATCCCTACCATAATGCTTCATTTGCAAAAAAATCTAAGTCTAAGATTCAGCATGGGATGGTAATTTGTATCTTTCTTGATAGGATTCATTTTTTTCACTAAAAGTTTTGTATTAGATATGAAACATGATCTTATATCAACTGAAAACAATCATCATACTGTGTGCTCTGCCTTGCTGAAGAGTAAAAATAGAGGATGGATGCAAGTTTCTCCATACAGATGGTTATTTAAATATAGAGGTTTTTATCAAGAATTCAGATTATTTAAATATCATGTTGATGAGAGCGACCTGTAGATTTTTGGTCCCCGTAGCTGGAGCTTGGTGTCCTCATCAGATTTTACAGCAGCTAGGAAACAATTTAAGCTGCCATGGATAGGCTCCTGGTATAATATGAGTGCTGACAACATAGATGTTTTAGTTACAATATACTCCTAAAATGTGCTGGCTAGAGCTAAAATACTTTTGCAGTTTTGCTACTAGATGCAACCTCAAGTGAACCCATGTATAATGTCCTCAGATAAGATCAAAGAGTCTCCTTAGATGAAGTCAGGTGGTTACATTTTAAAGAAAGAACGGCTCCAGTTGCCCCATCTCCTTTTATCATAGAAAGAAACCCAACCACACAGTTAAAAATAATGGAGGAGCAAGCACTAGGAGAAATAATAAAATAAGAGACTTCTTTTCAGACCAAACATGAGCTAGATGGTTATGGCCACACACCACTGCATTCTGGTATGTTAAGAAGATGTACAGAAGGCAAGCAGGGACGACCAAAATTAGACTGGCATGTAGGAAAGTTGGAGGAGATCAGTGGAAGGGTTTGACTAGGCAGGAGCAAGAAAACAAAATCTTCCTTCAGATACTGACCCAGGACTCTTTCAATAAAAAAGTAGGTTAACTTTCGCTTTCAATTTTCACCAAATAAGAAACAGTAGCTGGTGAACTGACCAACCCTGTGATGTTGTTTGGTTAAAACAAGTTAATGCAGCCCTGCAGTATCAATTTATTACTGACAGACCTAAATACGTGCAGTCAAAACTCTTTAGTTTTGTCACACTACTCAATAATTCAACAATTTCTAGTCAGGTTATTTCTCCTAAACACCTTCAAAATCAGTGGATACTGATGGGATCATGCAATATAAGAGTATCATAGAATCAGTTATTTGTCTCAGATCATACACAGTATGGGATAAAACGACATGCTATGTTACCTCAATGTAACCAAGCCCTTCAGGATCAATTTCCTCCATGATCAAGGCTGCATACTCCTCAGCTTGCTCCTTAAGCCTCGACAATTTATTAGCAGAAGCACTCAGCATAATGATCTGGAAACAAAACAGTGGCACCTTTCAATCAACTGATCACAAACCATACTTTTCAGTTTTCACACACGGGGAAAAAAAAAAGTAACCCAAACAAACAGCCTAGCCTGGCCTCTTTCCACGATGACCTCAGTTAAATAAACAAATTAAGCTCTAATCCAAAAGCTTCCCTTTCCACGCATTGTTTGAGCAGATTAGAGTACTAATTAGGAAGCATGACAGAAATGCCCCACCAACTATTGCTTTCTGGCCTCCAGCCTCCTGTAGGTCAGTTCCATCTCCATCAATAGTAAATTTACTAAACACCCTCCCACGTTCTAGAACCAACAACGATTGCTAAAAAAAATAGTGATGTGGGAGACCGGCCGGTGGTGGGGATGCTTTTCCGCCAGTTTCGCCGGGATGATGCCTGATTAGTCGGCAATGTTTTCCAAGCTACCAATTCCGTAATCCTTATGCGTAAATCCAGGAACACAAACTTGTAAGACAACAAAAAAACAAGTACATAACTACAGAGGCATGGAAATGGACAGCCCAGTTATCAAAAGACCCCCAAATAATTGTACGAAAATATCCCCAAACGGGAGAGCAAAAACAAAACAAAAGATCGCAAGTGAAACACCAAGCACAGCAACGAGGAATTGTTTACCTCTTTCACCTCGGCCTCCGTGATATGGCCATCTGCGTTCTTATCCACCCTGATTAAAATGATATAATAGATATAGCAAAATAAAAACGAAGACACATTGATAGAACTGAACAACTGATGTGTTCCATATAGCGCTAATTTGATAGCAGTTCTCAGATTGCAGGATTATATGTCGAAGAAGATCTGGAGGCGCGAGTCGAAGCTGTTGTCGGTGATCTGCTGCCAGATCTCGCGCAGCTCATCCTTATTGATCTTATCCACCTGCATCTGCCGGCGGCGGCTCAGCGTGTCGAAGAGCTCCATCGCGAACTCCTGCGACTCCATCATCCCTGCATCCAAAAACTCCAATGCGGTTAGGAACTAATCGCTCGAAGCAGCCTGCGGTTTCTGGAAGGAAAGGGGAGGGGACCGAAGTGAACCCATGCATTTGGGGAAGTCGGCGCGGGAGAGGTAGCCGTCGCGCGCGAGGCGGTCGAAGTTGGCCTGGACCTCGATCCAGGCGTTGCTGGCCTTGTTGCCGCCGCTGATGAAGCGGAGTCCGCGGATCGCAGCTGCGCGCCGGACTTGGTGCGGTCGAGCTGCGCGCGGCGGCGGCGCTGTGCGCGGGGCCTCGAGCGCGGCGTCGATGCCCGAGGACGGCATCTCCCCGCCGCCGCGAGGTTGGCGCGGCTCTGGGTGCGCGTGAAGCGCTTGGTGAGGTCCTGCGAGAACTGCTTGGCGCGGCTGGCGGTGGCCTTGAGCTCTTGCGAGAACTGCAGCAGGCGGTGCGAGGAGGTCCGGCGCATCGCGGAGAGCGCGACCGCGACGGCGCTGCGGTGGACGACGGGTCGGGTCCGGTGGCGGCGAGGCGGAGTTGCCACCGCGGCGGCGCCCGCCGCCGGGCTCGACGCTCCGCAGCACAATGTTGTCGTCCTCGAGGAGGTCCAGCGTGACCTCGACCAGCTCCTCGCCGTCGTCGGAGCTCCGGTCGGAGCCGCGCGGCGAGGAGCCCGTGCTCAGTGACCGCGGCGTCGTGGCGCCCGAGCCCCATCGCGGGCGCCCCGGCGTGCCGACGCCCGGCCCTCCTCCTCCTCGCATCAGACCACTCCTCCCCGCCTGTCTGTCCTCCTCACCTCCCGGCCGCTGCTTGAAGCTATGAAGCCACCACCAGCACCAACCCCCCTTTGACGATTTGGGAGAGAGAGAGAAAGAGCGAGAAAAAGATACGGAGTATATAGCTCACGCAACAGTCCAAGCCGGCGCGACCTAAAACGCGGTAGCTCGTAGTCACCCTTCACCCTCCTCCTTTTCTCTCTCCCCGACTGCGCGCGCGTGTGTGCGTGGAGAGAGAAAGAAAGAAAGCAAGCCACCCTCGTGCCCGTGCTCGTGCTCGTGCTCAAGCGGAGCGGAGTCTAGTAGCCGGGGGGCCGAGCGGAGCGGAGGACGACAGGGGAGACAGGACTAGCAATTTATCCGGGACAAGCACAGGCTAACCGACGCGACGCCGCCCCCCGAAAACTAACGTAAAAAAGTTGGTGGTGCTGTGGCGCCGCGGCCGGTGTATGCGCTCCGCCACCGCCAGCTTACTGCCCGGTTTTAAAGTGTGATGATCTGTACGCGTTCGCACTTGCCAGTGAACATTTTCATGGTATTTTAACTTTTTTGTTTACTACTACTACTACTCGTCGTTCCAAGTGAGTCATCAAATAGGCAGGCACATTTGCATGCAGAGGTTGCGTGATGACGTGACGCGCCATCCTACCTCCTACGCGCGCGCGCGCGCGGCCGGGCGACGTGTCCGTCCGGGTGGGCGCACCTAACGTGACCGGTGAGGTGAGATCGCGGGGGTGGATAGTGCCGGCGCCGGCCCTGCGCTGCAGCCGCCCTGCCCTGCCCCTGCCCAGAAGAAGATAGTAGTATCGCCATCATGAGCCCGGCGGGCGCATGTGCCGTGCCGTGTGGCCGCGCGGGCGGGGCGCGGGTGCGGGGGCGCACGGCACTTTCCGGCTAGGCGCGTCGCTGCCCACGACGCCAGGTTTCTGAGGGGGCCGGGCGGGGCAGGCGATCATTGCTCGGCACGGCAGCTCGTCGTCGAGGCGTACTCGAGCCCTCTGGTGAGTGTGGTGACAGCATCATTGGTTGTTGAGATGAGGTTGAGGGGCGCTCCGTCTGAAGCTCAACAGGCAGCATCTGACTGTAGCAAATGGCATAGCCAGAAGCCAGTGGAGGAGTTGATGGTACTCCTGCAACTACAGCTGAGTAGCAAATGGCAAAGAGCTTTGGAGCGAGACAGCAGGACAGGGAATGCGTGTCCTGCAAGCGGTGGACATTGCGGATAATCCGCAACAGCTGCCGTGGAGCATTTATACTCAATCCATCTTAAATTGTAAGACGTTTGACTTTTTTGACACCAAGTTTGATCACTCATCTTATTCAAAAATTTGAGTAAAATATCACTTCTTTCGTCGTGGTTTGATTTATTAATAAAAATTCTTCAAAAATGACTTAAATTTGACTATATTTGCACAAATTTTTTGAATAAGACTTGTGGTCAAACTTGGAGCCAAAAAAGTCAAACGTCTTGCAATTTAGGATGGAGGGAGTATACAGTACTCCTATGTCAACCTCACTTGTTTCGTTCCACATTATTTTGTTTGTTGTTGCTGGACGACGCAGTGGCATTTGGCAAGCAACATTTTCAAGGAAGAGAGTTCTTTTTTCTCCAGCTGGAAATAAAACAGTAAAAAAACATGCTTAAAATAAGAAGATCAGGGGGGGGACTGCACATTGACGAGATGAGTTGAGTTGAGTTGTGATGCACCAATGATCTGCCCTGCCCATTTGATTAGCAGTACGCAACGAACGCCCAATGATTAACCAGCTCATCAGCAAAAGGATTAGTAGATACGTGCCTCGAATAAAAGATCTCGTTCGTACACCGTGTCACGAACATTTCTTAACGTACCTGAAGAACTCGGCAACGGGCTGCTAGCTAGGCGAGCTTGGTCAATGGATTTCTACGTCAATGCCCGTGCTTGATCAGAAGATAAGAAGAAGGCACGGATCGAAATGTAACCTAGCGGTGCGAGGTAGTGGAGAACTGGAGAACACCTTCAGCTAATCAGCTGGGTGACCAAGTCTATAACGAACTCACGCCTCTTTTAATTTGCGTATGATTTGCTCCGATTTGATTATTGGGTTCCACCAGCTTCTGATACGATCATACGAAACGATACAGAAACGGAGGGGGTGTTCTTTGCTCTCAGTGGCATGAGCGCGATTAATGGAAATGATTGGCCGTCTAGTAGTAATCATATAAGAACAAAATTGGATGGGGAATAAAGTAAAATTTCTAGTTGACCTAGCCACCACAACCATGTTCCACATCTGACTTTGCCACGGGAAGACCTCTGGGTAAAGTCATGTGGTGTCCGCTTGAAAATTCCCGAATTATGTCAGTTAGCTCGCCCATGATCTAGCATGCGTGCATGTTCACGATAGATTGTTGATACGTACTGCAGCTGTCCATGATTAAAAAAATGTTACAAGAACCAGCAAAAAGTACGAAGTTGGAATTAGTTTGGTTAATGCTCATCATTAAAGCTTTCTGAACAAATCACCTAGCTCATCTGTTTTGGTTAAAAGTGCCCAAAACTTGACCAAATATATAACTTAAGTATTAATGTTTATGGCGCTAAATAAGTATATTACAGAAATATATCTCATGACAAATCTAACGATACTTATTCGATATTATAACTATTTACATTTTTTATATAGTTAGTTGAGCTTGAGATACTTTAACTTGGTATTACGCTAGAATTGCAATGTTTTGTGGACGGAGGAAGCAATGTAAGAGTATCTCCAAGAATACCATATTTCGCTTCATAATCCTTGGTTTTTAACGAGACGAGAAAAAATCTCTCTCCAACAACTCCTAATGCTTCCTCCTAGATTTTACGCACTTGGAAAATCCTCCCCCGTCACGGGTAACTTTGCACAGAGTCACGGTCGCGCAGATACACGCGTATTCATTGGCCAATTAAAGGTGGAAGGGCGAAAAAAGAATAAATAGTATAAAAGGGTTCTAGATGCAAATGTACAAGAAAGAAAGAATATATAAAATTAGTTAAAATAATTTAGAAATAGTAAAGGATTCCCGATGTAAAATTATCTTCTGTATTTTAGGAGTGAATTATTAGAAAGTATTGGAGATGACCTTCTTTTTTCTCCTAATACATTTTTAGGGGTTGAAAAACATGGGCTTTTTGGGAGAAAAATTTAGGATACTCTTGGAGGTGCTCTAAGATAGCTTACCATCACTAATTGGAGGCTTCTTTTGAACTATATCCTCGTTAATCATCGTGAGATGCATTAGAATTCACGTAAAATAAAATTTTGATCATCGATTCAATAAAACTCCATCATCAATTCGGTAAACTCTATATGTCAACAAGAATGGGTCTATTTCATTTTCTAAAACAATACTCACCTCTACCATTACAAAATACAAATCCCTCCGTTCTAAATTATGAGATGTTTTGGATCTTTTAGATACTTAGAAAAACCAAATGTCTTCCCGTGGCAAAGTCAGATGTGGAACATGGTTGTAGTAGCTAGGTCAACTAGAAGAGCAATGCATCTAGAAAAGTCAAAAGTCTTATAATTTGGACGGAGTGAGTATATAGTAACCCCTAAATCTACATATGAATTACTCAACTCTCCATTGCGAAAAAATAACATAAAATTTCACCTAAAATTTATATAAATTGCCCACCTATTATTATGAAAAGAATCTAAAATAACTCCATAAATTTGCATTTTGAATATCCATGTTCGTCATTACTAAAATTAATTGAGAATGACATCACCTATGCCCTTATGAAAAATAATACAAAGCAACCTCTTAAATTTACCCATCTTCACCAATATTAAAAATAACAAAAGATAACTGCTAAGTCTGCAGCTAAATTATCTACAATCTTCATTATAGAGAATTGTAGCCTTAAGTGCTTTTAAATATACGCTTCCAGAGTATCCACTTCTTCTATTGTTAATTGTAGAAAACTAACTCAAGACCATGCATGAAATGTATCACGTACCATTCACATGGCATATACATATATGCATAGACGACAGTAATATCTACTTTCATATCGAATACATAGCTCAAGATAGGTTTTACTTAAACACATGTCATACAAACACGGAGCTGCGATGCAAAGGGACAACCATGATTCTATGAATAGAGGTTGAAAGGTATATAGAGTAATCATTAACTAAAGTTTATTCATTTGGGCAAAGATAAGAAACTATCTACAAGAATATAATATCGTGTTGAATATAAATAAATTAGAGAGAGCAAAAGTAAACACATCAAGTTGTGATGGTTCTAAATTTATTTCTGAATTTCTAAGACATAGCTCTCTTGATGTTAATCAATAGCCGTGTAGGAGCACACAACTTCATGGACTAATTAAAATAAAGTAAAACCACAAAATGTGCAGCCATTAAGTCATTTGTACCGTCCATTTACCAACCACTTCTTCTGTCTCAAAATAGGTGTCATTCTCACTTCTCGAGAAGTCAAACGTTTTTATCTTTGACCAAATATATATAAGAAATCATTAATATTTATGGTACATAATAAGTATCATTAGACTTATTGTTTAATATATTTTTATAATAAGTTTATTTAGAGCTATGAATATTGATAATATTTTCTATAATCTAGTCAAATTTAAGAAAATTTTGACCTGTTTCATTTATTTTAGGACAGAAGAAATAGGTTTTAGGATCCATCCAA